AAGAAAATGCCAAATACTCTCAATTAAAATGGTAAAAATTAGCCATTTAAAAAATTTGCTTTAAATCATAGCTTATTTACTATAGATTTCTTAAAGAATTTAGCTTGATTAATATTAATCAAATGTTTTAATTATTTTAAAAATAAAGTTGGTATTTGTATTTAAAGAAGTCTGCTTAACTTGATCTATGAATGGCGTATTTTACGAAGACAAATAGCATTATCCTGATTTTTATATACAATATTCACAGGGATAAGTGCCAGTCTTAAGAGGGAATACCATACTAATTCAGCCCTAATTTAGTGTTAAAATAATGATGGTGACCTAGGAGGACTTGGAATATATGTTGAGACTTATTCTACTCTTTTGCTTAGATAATTTCCTTGGCATTCTGGCTCCAGACCTTTAAAATGAACAGTGGAATATAAAACCCAAAATTCAGTTATGAAAGGAAAATTTGCTACTAATATTATCAGGCCAACTATGAGGTATTTTATTTACCTTGAAGACAACTTCATATTTTTTGATTATTTGATAATGTTATTCATTCATCAATAAAAACCATTCATGTGGTACATATTTTATACTACGTACTCAGAGGGGTAATAGGTGAAAGATGATCATCCTTCCTTCCAGTTGGATCCTATAATTCATAAAGGAAGTGTGTTATACCCACAGTTACAAGACTGGTGAAAGTCATTCAAATTTGTACAGTGTACTTACGCTATCCGAGAGTGCAAGTATTTTTTTATAGGAGCAAAGACTTCATTTGCTAGGGTTTATGGATGTACATTTTGGTAAGTATGTACTTAGAGGTACACAGATAAACAGACATTTCTGCCTGAAGATACATTTTAGTCAAGCCAAATTCATGTGATTTTGTATTTATATGTCATAAGAGTGATAGCTCTACTGCTTAATCAAGGCTAGGAACACATGTTTTAACAGGTGGATGATTTAGGTAGACTCCAGTGATGTAGTCCTCAGCCTACTTAAGTTGGAGTGCATTATAATAGTCCATTTCTTAGGGACTGTGTTGGCAATATTTCTTAGGCACTCTGTAGTAACTTTAAGATATCATCCTTAAGTATTTAAGATCTTATTTCTTAAAACATGTAATACCCATTTTGGTTTTGGACAGAGAAAATAACAGGATGGTAAAACGTACGTGGAAATTTTAAAGTTTATGCATTATTGGGACTCAGTTTTTTCTCATCACCTATAAGCTCAATTTAATAGACTGTGCAGTTCTGTGGTCATAATCTGAAGTGCCATTTAATCAAATTGAGTCTTAGAAGCAGGAGAAGAACGTTAAAGCTAAATGTGCCTTTGATATAGATGATAATACTTCCTTGTATACTAATCTTTTGTCTTTGCTATTATTTTATTCACAGAGCTGAAGAGTAATCAGTGAGAGAAAATCTGTTCCATAAAACTCTAAACTCTCTAAATGACATTTTAAAGCCATGCAGTCCATTTCAATGAACAAGTTCCTAGATGCTTTTTAATTTCTAAAGATATGATCATACATGGCATATTTACTTTTCGGTAGTTTTCTGTCACCTTCTCATGAAAAAAGGACTCGATATTAATAAGCAAAATTTGCTACATGGTTTAAAATTTTGGCTCATTATGAAGACAGCCATTTTCTAATCTGAGATTTTACACTTTTTATTTATAGAAATAGTTATTTCTGAGTCCACTCTAATGTACCAAAATGATTTTATTTTAAATTACTCATTGTTCCTGTTCTCTCCCATTTTTGCCCTGTAGCATCGGTTGACATTTCATGGAGAGTGAGTTGGCACAGGGCTGGAAAATATGTAATTATAAGAATCACCTACTCTTGAATTTCCCATTATATAGTAGTCACAATTCAGGCAGACTTTTCATAGGTGTTTGATTTGGAATGAGAAGTTTTCTTCCTCCACGACCTGTGATTAAAGTGCGGCATTTTGGTAAATAAATAGATAGTAGTTTCTGCATAATCCAGCTATGAATCAGAGCTGGTGAAGCAATGTAAATCTTTGACCCCTATCATATAAGCAGTAGCATATGTAATTGGAAATATATTTTAAGATTAAGTGCAATAAACCTTTTTTGCAATGCTCTTTAGCTTAAAGCGGGCTAAGTGTTAAAATGCAGCAAGATGCGTATTAAGAGAAGGGTTGCTTCATTTAATGCTCCTCAAAGAAATTCCAATAAAAGGAAATCCACTATGACTACATTTGAATATTTTATTTTTTTAATGAGTTATAACCGTGAATGTAAATATTTATCAGTTGCTGTAGCATGATGGTAAAGGCAGGGAATAGACTATATTTCTTCATAATTGAAAATGAAACTTACCGTTACAATAGTGTTGGGATAATAGCCTTACCTGTTGCGTTAACCTTTATAAATCTTTATGGGGAAAGTAGCAATTTTCAATTAATTGACTGTGGAATTATTCACACAGTTCCTGATGATAGTTTATGTTCTTTTCTGGATTCTGCAGTAACTGGTACGTTTTTCCGTGCATAGTTTAGTTTGTGTATGAAAGTCTGTCTGTAAAGATGTTAGGTGTATATCTACATTATTTCTCTGCACTATAAATATAAATTATGTTATTCTAAAGTCATGCATGCTTTTGTTTTATAGTAAGATGGTATGTGCTAAACACTTCACTTGTCACTTGGTAGATCAAAACGTATTAGCTTCTGTCTTAATTCGAGCTGCTATAGTAAAAATACCATAGACTGGGTGGCTTAAACGAATGAAATTTATTTCTCACAGTTCTGTAGTCTGGAAAGTTCAAGATTAAGGTGCCAAGGTGTGGCCGATTCAATTCCTAGTGAGGGCTCTCTTCCTGGTTTGCAGATAGGCATCTTGCTGTATCCTCACACAGCACAGAGACAGAGAGAAAATAAGTTCTCTCAGGTCTCTTCTTATAAGGACACTAATCCCATCACCAGGTCTCTGCCCTTGTGATCTAATTACCTCTCAAAGGCCCCATCTCCAAGTACCATCACATTGGAGATTAGGGTTTCAAAATACGAATTTTGGAGGAATGCAAACATTCAGTCCACAAGAGCTTTGTAACTTTGGCTATCTATCCTATTAACTGACTTGATATTAGAATAATTGGACTAGAGCCAAATGTCATCTTTTATTTTAAATTTTGAAGTGTCCTATGTTAATGAAGCTAAAATATTAAAAACATTTTATATGAACCTATCAATTCTAAAATATTTTAGATTTTAAAACATCAATAGAAATCTATTCTTTGAAGTAGATGACTTTGAATTGCATGTGTACTAGGGAGATAGAGGCATTAATTTTGTTTTCTATTAATACCTTTATATCTTACTATTTCACTGTTTATGTTCACTGTCAACATTCTATACTCAAAGTTTTTATTTCCTCTCCCTACACAGTATCTCCTTAATGCCCTCTAATGTAGTTTCATTCATCGCCACTCTTCTAAAGTTACATTCCACATGCTCTACAGTGACTGCCCTGTAAGTCTCCTCTGGAAATATTTAATGTAATAGACCTCTAACACTCTTGAAATGGAAGGCTTGGCATGTGACAGACACTTAATAAGTATTGGTTAACATGTGATTGGAGAAAAATAACCTCTCCCTATTTTCTCTCTATGGTGTTGTACCAGCCAGATTCTACTCCCTAGACCATTTCCTTCTTTGATGCCTCTCCTTCCCTCCTCTACGCATCCCTCCAAGTTTCATCCTCAGTTATTTACTTTTCTCTCTCCACGCTCTTTCACTTAGAGAAACCTCAGTTATTGCCTCTACATGAATAACCATATCCTTTTCTCCAGGCTGGCTTTCTCGTGAGCTTCAGTTATATATCTACAATTGTCCTCTGGACATTTCTATTTGGATATCCTACCATCTCTTCAAACATAAGTGGTTTGAAGTCAAATGCATCATGTTCCTCTCCAGTGATTTTTCCCTTCTGTGTTTCCTTATTTCTGTCACAGTTGTACCTTTTCCATAGCCACTATTCATTTTTATCTTCCTCCAATCACTATACGTACTAAATGTTTGTTGTGTCTCTTAGAAAATATTCTGAGTTGTCCTTCCTTTCCTTTAACCAATGGTAGTAAACTCTCCTTGTTAGTGTTCCTGAAACAGACCATCTTCAAGTCATCCCATCCTACAAATTACGGCCAGAATTTATTTTTAAACTATCTCTTTCTTTATGAATTTCCTTTAGTTTAAAACCTTGAAGAGTTACCCACTAACTATGGAAGTGGTTTTCAAAAGCTTTTTTTTTTTTTTTTAAATTAGTAGACAACTTTGGTTAAATAAAATCTTACATGGGACCCAAACAAATAAAACAGTTAAATCTACAATTGTTTTGAATGAAAATAATTCAAGCCTCTTCTATTGGGCTTCATCTACACATTGTCCCCTGGGCACCTCTGTGGAATTTTAGGACATTTTATAATACAATTTGAAGCCTATTGCCTCTGGTACGAAATTATTATTTAGAATTAGGCCCTGTTCCATTCAACCAACCTGTTTACTATACCCATTTATTTCATGTAAATTCCGTTTTTGTACCTTGGCCTCTGTCATGTATAGTGTCCAGAGTGCTGTTAAACCACTTTTATGCTTCTTTAAATCTTATTTGTATTTCCAAGTGCAGTTCAGCCACTACCTCTTTAATTGAACATATGAATGAATATTTAGTAAATCAGAGACTTGGGTATTTTTATTCATGAGTATGTATATGTCTCTAGGGGGTATTATTTTCTTTTTTTGGAAATTACTTCTCTATTACATTAATTATCAGATAAACAGATGTCACTATTATATGCTTATCATATTTTAAAGCCCTGAACTGAATGATTTTAAGCATCCAAAAGGAATGAGCCCAAGATTGTTTGATGCTAAATTTAAACGTTCAAAGCATGAATCTAAGAATAAGATCCATGTGACAGACATCAGCAATTTAAAAATATACTTATTATTTTTACATTTGTTTTCTCTTAGGGCCTGCAACATACAATCCTGTTTTACAGAAATCTTGCTCCATACCCTTATTTTTTAAAGCATCAAAACGTTTTAAAGATTCCAAAGAGATTACTCCTGGTCCAGCGACATATGAGGTTTGTCATTGATATTTCTCTTTTATCAATAACACAAGAATAGAATAACATCCAGAAAGTACTTGAAAATATCTACATTAAAGTCCTTTCCATATGTTTTCTCAATGTTACTGACTAATCAAAATATTTTGGCTAAGGAAGGCTTTTTTGAAGACATATTCTAACTTTTTTTAAAGAATTGTTTAAGAACTTAAGAATTATTAACAATTTATTTCTCTATAAATGTCCTCTACAGCATTAATATGTGTAAGTTTTTTATATCCCTGCAACTTTAAATATTTGCTTGTTTATATACACAAATTGAAATCTCCAAGTATTTATTGAAATCATGAATTTATTAGAGGACTCAGAAGAAAGCCCTGTGGATCCAGTAAAATCAAGTATTGACCTTTCATTTTCTTATAATAAACGTAGATGCTGTATGTTAGCTTCATAATAAATAAAGGACTCTTTTAAGCTGTGGGCCTTCTGATTGTAAAAAGAAAGTTTAAATAAACCTGCAGGGTTTTAGAAATTGTGTTCACAATAGGCCCTAATTCCCCATTTGGGATGAAATAACTCCCCAGTTCCTCCACTACTACCTACTGAGAATGAAATATTTCATAGTGGCTTATAGCAATTAATTTAAAAGCTAGTACTTAGTGCAAACCACAGTGAATGTTCTTTTTTGGGTTAATGACAATCTTATGTTTATTTAATATATACTTTTCTACTTATTTAAAATGTCATAATATAAATAATTTTTCAGCATTCTTTCTAAATCAGATTCATAAAAAGAAGAAAAAGGAAAGCAAAAGAATAATGAAAGACTTGTTATGTTATTTGTAGGCTGTTGGTTCCCCCAGAAGACCGCTGCTAAAGCCTTCTGATTAAGCAAAGCTCATTTCTTAGACTTCCTTCAGAAAGGGAGCATCTGCTAGACAGAGTCCTAGTAGTGTTTCAGAAGGTGGAAGTCCAAGGAGGATATTTATAGTGTTTAGGACCTGAGCTGTGTGATGTAAGGCGACTCTTATAAATGGGGAACTGGTTGGGATTTGGCAGAGTTTATGACATGCTTACTTTGAATTATTGGGCACGGTGAGGAAGGGTCTGGAAGCAAGTGTTGATCAGTAAGCTATTAGTCTTGATAAGTTAGGTATTATAGCTGTTCCTAGTCTGATCGTATTAAGCCTTATCATATGATGAGTCTGATCATATTAGCTGAATGCTTTCCCCCCTCCCTTTCAAAACTGATTTTCATGGTGTCAAGAAATAATAAATGTCAGTAAATATGATCTTATCCTTTTTCATTTTGTGGTACATTTGTCATAGAAGATGCACCCACTAGTCTTGCTAGGATTTAAAGATACTCTTCTTTTTTCTTTCATCAAAATTTCACGTTTCATATATATATATATATATATATATATACACACACACACACACTTCCTCATAGTCATTTATTATGGATAATTATTTTCTGTGTCAGGAGAAAACATTTATGAATTTAATAATGATATTTATTAACATGTTAACTGAAATTTTAAACTATTATATTCTATATGTAATGCACTGCAAGGTAACTTTTCTGTTGAGAACTGAGTCTGTAATTTTTTTTGTCTTCCTAACACCATTCGTTTCCTTTAATAATTGAAAATCTTTTTTGAACAAATAATTTTCTTCCATAATTTTCCTTCTTTAAAGGAAAAGTTATTTTTAAGATGATAGTTGATAAATTACTTCATTCCTTTATTATAGCTTGCTCTTAGTTTTTTTATTTGATGCTTCACTCTTTCTCTATTGAGTTTGATAGATTTAAGTTCGTGACTTTTAAGAACGTTTGCCTTAAAAATTTTACTTTTTTTTTACAGAAAAAGATGATTCTAGAAATTATAACATTGTTTTAAGACTGTAGGATTGGGTTCTATGTGAAAAGTACTTAAACATGTATGACCTCTGCCATCAAGTTGGTTATAGGTTTGGTGTTTTTCTTTGGTGAGGAAGATTTGTCTGAGCTAACTTCTGTTATCAATCTTCCTCTTTTTTTTTGCTTGAGGAAGATTAGCCCTGAGCTGACATCTATGTCAGTCTTCCTCTATTTCGTATGTGGGTCACCACGACAGTGTAGCTGATGAGTGTGTATGTCCCCACCTGGGATCCCAAACTGCACACCGGCCTGCTGAAGCTGGGCATGCTGGACTTAACCACTATACCATGGGGCCTGCCTCGGGATGGCTATAGGTTTTGTAGTGTCTCATATCCTCACTGGATTTGAAACTGTCCAGTGCTGGTGGTCTTTACAATGTATTTTATAATAAGCATAGCTCTCTGAAGCTACACACCCACATCTGTAAAAGCTCCTTGCCATTTTCATTCTTTTATGAACTCTCTCTCAAGTTTCCCAGGCAGAATTAGTTTTCTCCTCTTTTTTTTTGTCAGAGTTGCCGTCGGAAGTCGGAATGTATCTTACTTTGCCCATAATATTTCAATTACAAGCTAATCTCTTTGTCTCTTTTGCTCCTTCTAGTTGTTGATATTTATTCATTCACTATTGCAGAGACTTTCAAATATCTAATGAAAACTAGGGGTTCTTTTCTTAGGGAGAAAATGTAGGTATGCTTATAATATAAAACTGTGCGTGCAATTTTAAAAGATTTATTAATAGACAAAAGCTTATTTATGGTTCCAATCAAGACCTCCCTAAAGTATATTCTGAGCTCCATGAAGGCAGGGACTTATGTAGTTTTATATTATTAGGGTTTCAACCACAGAATCTGGCACATAGTAGTAGATCAATAAATGTTTATTGATATATAAATATCAATAATATATAAAATATATAAAAATATATAAAATATAAATTAACAAAATGGATAATACTAAGATTTTCTTCCTAGGATTAAATCACTAATCTTTATCTAGAAATAAAGATTTACTTATCGATTTAGTTCTCAGTGAGAAGAATATGTACATATTCTTTTAAAATAGCAGTAGGTTTTATTGATTGATTCACATTTTCTTGTCAAGTAACTCTTCTGGCCAAAAGCATGCATTTGTAAGGATTAGATAAGGTTCCACGTTATTTTCTGGAATTTAAAATTGACAATTATTATGTAAGAGTAATAAAAAACTAGATTAAAGAAACTTCAATAAATTAAAAAAAATCTTTACTTAAGTATTGCAGGAAATTTTAAGTATACCTCTTTTTAAAAAAGCAAATTCTACTGAAATTAATTGAAATTCAATAATACAAATTTATTTTTTAGTATAATTTTTTCTACTTTGTTGAGATATAATTGACATATAACGTTGTGTAGATTTAAGGTGTATAATGTGATGATTTTGTGCACATATATATTAAAAATGATTACTACAGTAAGGTCTGTTAACACTTCCATCACCTCACATAATTTTCTTTTGTGTGTGCGTTACTATAGTCACCATGCTGTATATTAGATCTCCAGACTTTATTCATCTTCTAACTAAAATTTTGTACCCTTTACACAAACTGTCTACATCTCCCCTACCCTCTAGTCCCTGGAAACAACCATTCTACTCTTTATTTCTATGAGTTCAACTTTTTTAGATTCCACATATGTGAGAACATACAATATTTGTTTTTCCCTGTCTGACTTATTTCGCTTAGCATAATGTCCTCAAGCTCCATTTATATTGTTGCAAATGGCAGGATTCCTTCTTTTTTATGGCTGAATAATATTCCATTGTATATACATACCACATCTTTTTTGGTCCATCCATCCTTGATGGACAATTAGGTTGTTTCCACATCTTGGCTATTGTAAATAATACTGCAATGAAATGGGGATACAGATGTCTTTTTGAGCTAGTGATTCATTTCCTTCCACTGTATACACAGTACTGAGATTGCTGGATCATATGATAGTTCTATTTTAAATTTTTTGAGAACTTCTATATGTTTTCCATAATAGGTATACCAATTTACATTCCCACCAACAGTGCACAAGGGTTCCCTTTTCTTCACATCCTTGCCAACATTTGTAATCTCTTGTGTTTTTGATGATAGCCTTTCTAACAGGGGTGAGGTGATATCTCATTGTGGTTTTGACTTGCATTTCTCTGATGATTGATTAGTGATGTTGAGCATTTTTCATGTCCCTTTGGCCATCTGTATGTCTTCTTTGTAAAAATGTCTATTCAAGTCCTCTGCCCATTTTTTAACCAGATTGTTTTTTTGCTCTGGAGTTGTATGAGTTCCTTTTATATTTTGGATATTAACCCCTTATGAGTTAGATGGTTTGCCAATATTTTCTCCCATTCTTGGGTCCCTTTTCATTTTGTCAATTGTTTCTCTTGCTGTGCAGAAGCATTTTAGATTGACATAGTCCCACTTGTTTATTTTTGCTTACATTTTTGGTGTCATACCAAAAAAATCATTACCAAGACCAATGTCAAGGATTTTTACCCCTACATTTTCTTTTAGGAGTTTTGTGGTTTCAGGTATTAGGTTTAAGTCTCTAATTCATTTTGAGTTAATTTTTGTAAGTAGTATAAGAGAGGGATCTATTTAGATTTTTTTGCATTTAGATATCCAGTTTTCCCAACACTGTTTATTGAAGAGACTGTCCTTTCCCATCGTGTATTCTTGGCACCCTTGTCAAAGATTAGTTGGCAATATATGCAAGAGTTTTATTTCTGGGCTCTGAATTCTGTTCCATTGTTCTGTGTATCTGTATTTATGCCAGAACCACGCTGTTTTGATTACTATAGCTTTGGAATATAGTGTGAAATCAGAAAGTCTTATGCTTGCAGCTTTGTTGTTCTTTCTCAGGATTGCTTTGGCTACTCAGGATCTTCTCTGGTTCCATACAAATTTTAGGATTATTTTTTCTATTTCTGTGAAAACTGCCATTGGAATTTTGTTAAGGATTGCATTCAATCAATAGATGACTTTAGGTAGTGTGGACATTTTAATATTATTAATTCTTCCAATCCACGGACACAGGACATCTTACCATTTATTTGTGTCTTCTTCAATTTCT